ATGGAATACAGCCCTGATTGGTATATTCTATGAACCGTTAATTGCAATATGTTCCTAATCCCTAGGCCTGCCTTCCTTTTTATTGCATGACGCTAAACACATTTATCATCCTTGCACAGGTCTTATGACTTATTTCCGTGAAGCCACTGTGCACACACAAGAGCTCTTGGATCTGCTGGTCAAATGTGAAAACAAAATCCAGACTAGGATTAAGATTGGGCTGAACTCAAAGATGCCTAGTCGGTAAGCAAAAATCACCCCATATTGTGTTCCGGTGTTTTTAATAAATCTATAGATTGATATTATTGTAATTTGACTTCTATCTTTCCTTTGGTAGATTTCCTCCTGTCATATTTTATACTCCTAAGGAAATTGGAGGCCTCGGAATGTTATCTATGGGTCACATATTGATCCCTCAAAGCGACCTTCGGTATAGCAAGCAGACAGATGTTGGTGTGACCCATTTTAGGAGTGGAATGAGCCATGAGGAGGATCAGCTGATTCCCAACCTTTACCGTTACATTCAGCCTTGGGAGAGTGAGTTTATAGATTCTCAGCGGGTATGGGCAGAGTATGCTTTAAAGAGGCAGGAAGCTCAGGCACAAAATAGACGTCTCACACTCGAGGATTTGGAAGTAAGTATTTTACTTGTGTTTCCCTAGTGTGGTTATCTGGATTTGGATTATCTGGATTTTTTGGTTCTGGGAGGATATATGTGTGTTATCTGCTTCTATTTTGACAATCTATCTGTAGAAGTGGCTTTAAGAATTTGACTCAGAAGTCACATCACCTGTTGGAGTGCATGGTGATGGACTAGGAAATCTAACTCATCTAACAAATTCTTGCAGGACTCCTGGGATAGGGGAATTCCGCGTATAAATACTCTGTTTCAGAAGGACAGACACACTCTAGCGTATGATAAAGGTTGGAGGGTTCGGACAGATTTCAAGCAATACCAAGTCCTCAAACAAAACCCTTTCTGGTGGACACACCAAAGGCATGATGGGAAGCTGTGGAACCTGAACAATTATCGAACTGATGTCATCCAAGCCCTTGGAGGTGTTGAGGGTATTCTCGAGCATACATTATTCAAAGGAACATAGTAAGTCTGCTTCCTACTCGGCCCATTATTATCTATGTTTTTTCACATTAATACCTAATGCCACCATGGATCTTATTCATGACATAACATTATTTGTCCCATAACAGTTGCGTAACCTTTTCATTGTTGTTCTGTAGAATCAAAGTTACTAATTTTGCTTGCTATATGTGTACTCAGCTTCCCAACGTGGGAGGGTCTTTTCTGGGAGAAGGCATCTGGCTTTGAGGAGTCGATGAAATATAAAAAGCTGACGAATGCTCAGAGATCTGGTCTGAACCAAATCCCTAATCGAAGATTCACACTCTGGTGGTCACCAACTATAAACCGGGCCAATGTCTATGTAGGTTTTCAAGTGCAGTTGGATTTGACAGGAATATTCATGCACGGAAAGATTCCCACATTAAAGATATCTTTGATACAAATTTTCCGTGCTCATTTATGGCAAAAGGTCCATGAGAGTGTGGTTATGGATCTCTGTCAAGTCTTGGACCAAGAGTTAGATGCTTTGGAGATCGAAACTGTGCAGAAAGAGACAATTCATCCAAGGAAGAGTTACAAAATGAACAGCTCCTGCGCTGATATCCTTCTATTCGCCGCCCATAAATGGCCGATGTCAAAGCCAAGTCTCGTGGCTGAGTCGAAGGATATGTTCGACCAGAAAGCTAGTAATAAGTACTGGATAGATGTCCAACTTCGATGGGGAGACTATGACTCCCATGATATTGAGCGGTATACTAGGGCCAAATTCATGGATTATACAACAGACAACATGTCTATCTATCCATCTCCAACGGGTATGTGATGTTTTCTCTGTTCTGCTTTGCTCTCTGAAGTTTTTTCGTTTCTGTGCAACCTGGTATCTTAGTTATGGAATCCTTGCAGGCGTAATGATTGGGCTCGATTTGGCGTACAACTTGCATTCTACCTTTGGTAACTGGTTCCCTGGATCGAAACCTCTACTTGCTCAAGCAATGAACAAGATCATGAAGGTACACTCAAAGAACCTATGTCTGAGTTATCTCTAGCGTTCTTGTCCTTTTCTGTTACGCATTTGACTTATTTTTCTTTCTGTATACCTTATCTGACTTATTGATTAATCATTAAATGTAACAGTCAAATCCAGCTTTATATGTCTTACGAGAGCGGATAAGGAAAGGTCTGCAGTTATACTCTTCTGAGCCTACAGAGCCATACCTGTCGTCTCAGAACTATGGTGAAATATTCAGCAATCAAATTATATGGTTCGTTGATGATACAAACGTCTATCGTGTTACAATTCACAAGACGTTCGAAGGAAATCTAACCACGAAGCCGATCAATGGTGCTATCTTTATTTTCAACCCAAGAACCGGGCAGCTGTTCCTGAAGGTATTTCTCCTCTCTTGGGTCTCATTATGGATGTTTTTGTGCTTGTTAATACGTTTGCATCTACATATTACATGCAGTGGTGTCTAAAGTGGTTGTCTTTTTGTCCATCTAGGTTATCCATACAAGTGTTTGGGCTGGTCAGAAGCGTCTTGGTCAGCTAGCTAAATGGAAAACTGCCGAAGAAGTGGCTGCTCTCGTGCGGTCCCTACCAGTTGAGGAACAACCAAAACAAATAATTGTGACTCGTAAAGGAATGTTGGATCCTCTGGAGGTTCATCTGCTTGATTTTCCCAACATTGTAATCAAAGGAAGCGAACTGCAGCTTCCGTTCCAGGCTTGCTTAAAGATAGAGAAGTTTGGTGATTTGATTTTGAAGGCCACAGAGCCACAGATGGTCCTCTTCAATATATACGATGATTGGTTGAAGAGTATATCTTCATACACAGCTTTTTCGAGGCTCATTCTGATCCTACGTGCGCTGCATGTTAATAATGAGAAGGCAAAGATGCTATTAAAGCCGGACAAGACTGTTGTCACCGAGCCACACCACATCTGGCCTTCCCTCTCTGATGACCAATGGATGAAGGTAACTCCGCTGTCACATTTCGATTGGGTCTCTCTTTTTTTCGTTTGTTCTTGCTGTATTGTATTTGTTATTTTCCTGTTCCCTTTATTTTTTAAATTCTTTGGAATCTTCTCTTTGTTTAACGTTTCCTAAATCTATGTCTTATCAATCTGCGTTGTATTCAGGTGGAGGTTGCTCTTAGAGATCTCATTCTTTCTGACTATGCGAAGAAGAATAATGTGAATACATCAGCTCTGACACAGTCAGAGATCAGAGATATTATACTCGGAGCTGAGATCACACCACCATCTCAACAGAGGCAACAGATTGCTGAGATTGAAAAACAGGTATTTTTTTCTGTTACTCCTTTAAAGTGCTGTCAAAGACCTTTGGTCATACCTGTAGGCTGCAACTTGTCCACGTACTTGTTGTTTACTGTATAATTGTGTTCCACTACTGCAGGCAAAGGAAGCGAGCCAACTTACTGCTGTCACAACAAGGACAACCAATGTTCATGGTGATGAACTCATTGTCACCACCACAAGTCCCTACGAGCAAGCTGCATTTGGGTCCAAAACCGATTGGCGTGTGCGTGCTATTTCAGCAACTAACCTCTACCTTAGGGTCAATCATATATATGTCAATTCAGATGACATTAAGGTAAAACTAGGATCCTTCTGGATCACATCATCAATTTCAGTGAAATTCCTCACTTGATCTCCTTAAACCCGAGTTCTGCTCGCATGTACAGGAGACGGGATACACATACATTATGCCAAAGAACATATTGAAGAAATTCATCTGTATAGCAGATCTCCGCACCCAAATCTCCGGTTATTTGTATGGCATAAGTCCTCCGGATAATCCCCAGGTCAAGGAAATACGCTGCATTGTAATGGTCCCACAGTGGGGTACACACCAGCAAGTTCATCTGCCATCTGCTCTTCCTGAGCATGATTTCTTGAACGATCTTGAGCCTCTGGGATGGATGCACACGCAGCCGAATGAGCTTCCTCAGTTGTCCCCGCAGGTATTTTATATTCATTTTACTTCATTCTTGTTAGGCGGCCCATATATTGATACGGCATTTGCTGACCATGTTTAAACATGTAAGGATGTTACTTCTCATGCGCGTATTCTGGAGAACAACAAGCAATGGGACGGAGAAAAATGCATTATCTTGACATGCAGTTTCACGCCAGGCTCATGCTCCTTGACCGCTTATAAGCTAACACCGAGCGGATATGAATGGGGAAGGCTCAACAAAGACACAGGCAGCAATCCACACGGTTACCTACCAACCCACTATGAGAAGGTTCAAATGCTGTTGAGTGATAGGTTCTTCGGGTTTTACATGGTAAGTAACAAAAGGAAAAGCGGATTGAGTTGTTTTTGATATTATACATTGGAGTGGGATTCCATTCCGTTAAAATTTTGCTGTCTATGCTATGTTGTATTGGCAGATGCCTGAAAATGGACCATGGAACTATAACTTCATGGGAGTGAAGCACACAGTGAGCATGAAATACAGCGTGAGACTGGGGGCACCCAAAGAGTATTACCACGAGGAGCATCGCCCAACTCACTTCCTTGAGTTCAGCAACATGGAGGAAGCTGATCTTGCCGAGGGAGACCGCGAGGACACCTTTGCTTGAATATATATATATATATATATATATTGAAGAACGCCCCTTTCTTTTCCTGTTATGATGTCTCAGGGCTTGTTTTGTCTGTTGAACTTAGTTATGCTTAGTCACAACAACAACTACTACTACCGTGTGCAAGAATCAGTCCTACTTAGAGCTGATGAAAGAAATCAGTCATGGTGTTAGAATCTGGGGGAGGGGGGGGGGGTCTCTGTACAGTCAGCGTTCTGGGTATTTCAAGAATAGATGATGCCTGCAAATCTACACTCTGAAGGTGTAGTCCGAAGATTGTTATTCAGGAATCTGAAATGTAAAAAGAGGCAAAATATGCAGCAGTTATGCAGACTTTAGTATTGTGAAAAACTGGACTGAAAGGTTAAAGAAGAGGGACCATCAAAACTCGTAGCCATGGGTGTGTATTTACAAGAGCACAGCATTCTCTTCATCACTTGTTAACGTAAAAGCGAAACCAACAGAAGAAAGAGAGGGAACAATGTGAGAGTGCTCGCCGTGTAGGATGAGCTCGAGGGCTCTGTAGTTTCAGTCACACGGCTCGTAGAAAGATGCTGGACCATCCTCGACGACCCTTCTCTCCATTCGCACGGCCTTACTCCCAACTCATCTTCTAGACCGCTGTCTCTATTCGAGCATAGACCGGAGTTGTTATAAAGTCTCAGCTTCCTCCTCATCCTCCACACCATTTCTCTCTCGAAAGGGATTTGTCCTGTCAACCTGTTGTTATCGAGACTCAGCTCACTCAGATGCTTAACGTTTCCAAGCTCCATGGGAATCGAACCAGTCAAGTTGTTCCCGTCGAGATGCACAACTCTGAGGCTGCTCATTCCAGCTATTGACTTTGGTATTGAGCCCTGAAGGTTCATGTCCGAAAGAACCAATATCATCAGGCTTTTCAGTCCCCTGAACATGTCTTCCGCTAATGTTGTCCGGAATCTTCTGTTTCCTTTGAGGATTAGCGCTTGGAGAGAAGTTAGTCCTTGAAGTGAAGACGGAAATGGACCCGATAACCGGTTATAGCTCAAATCGAGAAGAATAAGTTCCTTGAGCCGGTCAATCAACTCCGGGATCGGACCGGTTAGTCGATTCCGGCTAAAATCGATTTTGATCAAGGATCTGCACGATGAGAGGCTGGACGGGACCGTGCCGATTAGTAGATTTCGGTTCAGGTCAAGAATGTTCAGAAGGGGAAGACTAAAACCGGGTACGTAACCGGTTAACTTGTTACCGCTCAAATCCAACGAACTCAACCGGGTGAGCCGATGAAACGACAAGGGGATGGAACCGTTGAGATTATTACGATGCAAATCAAGGACTCTCAAGCTGGTGAGATTGCCCAACTCGTCGGGAATTGGGCCTAGAAGCCCATTATCTCTCAAAACGAGAGTCTGCAAACTGGAGCCCAAGAGGCCCAGAAAGGAAGGAATACGCTGAGGGGCGCGGGTGAAACACCGGTAGAAGAACAAGGCCTTGATATGTTTGAGCCTCGTGAGGGATTCGGAGACGTAGGAGCGTTCCGGGTCGCAAGTGGGAAACGCCGTGTCGTCCGAGAGGGCTCCGAACGACAAGGAGACGACGTGGAAGACGTTGTCCTGGTCGGGCATGCACTCTATTCCGTGCCAGCGACCACGGCACACGTCGGGGATGGACGAGGCCCAGTCGTTGCCGGTGGCTCGCATGATGTCGTAGACGGCGTCTTGCTCGTCCGGGTCGGTTCTGGCTCCGTCGTTCGTCATAGTGAACCCTGTCTGCGGACCCTCTATCAATGCCGATGGCGCCGTAGAATCGGACGCTATCACGGTGAAGGAGCTCACTAGCGTTGGAACTATAAGGAAGAGGATGGATATTTGGTAGTAGTAGATATAATGCGATGCCATTGTTGGAATGGAACACAAATGTGTGTTACATTTTGAGTCATCTATATATATATATATATATATATATGTGTGTGTGTGTATACAGCACACGTACGGGTCCGGCGTATGTATATGTTAAATGTATGGTGGGTCCACAAATGGTCAGAATGTCATTATGTGTATCACGGGAAAATTCGAGGAGTGAAATAAATAAATTTCTGGATCCGATATTTAGCGCATTTATGGGGTTCACGAGAGTTGTGCCTTTGGGTCGCCCGTTTTAACGAATGTAAATTGTGCTCGTATTTTTTTTATCATTTTTTATTTTATCTAATGGTTCAGTTTTTGGCCCCAGAAACGGCTAATATACATTCGTTGCAAGTTGATTAAACATGCTAAATTTGTCAGAACCCTTGCATAGATAATTCCAAGTTGAATGTTGTGTATCCCAGTGCTCATGTTCTTTGGACAACACGTGTCAACATACATGTAACCAAGACGGCCACGCGTCGGACAACCCCAAATCTTGAACCATCTCAAATATTCAGATTTAGCAAAAGGCCGATTAATCTTATATCTCTATCATCGCCAAGAAACCCCCAATGCAACGACAGCAGCAGAATGTTGCCGTGGATCGGAGCCGTCTGACCCACGCGACGGTTAGAGATCTGACTGTCGAGAAGCGGCGGCTGGTAGAGATTCCGTACACCGCCACGCTCGGGGACACAATGAACGCCCTCGTGGCGAACTGCGTAACGGCCGTACCAGTGGCGGGGCCGCCCGGGC